AGAAAAACACGATGATCAGCATTTGCTCACCAGACTATTCATGTGTTTTACAGGCCGTATGTTAGTAAATGCGTGCAAGTACGCATCTATGTTGTATGTTTATTGCCTATTTCTATCTTGTACTTATCACTGGCTCTTTTTTCTACCTCTTTGAGTAACTCCTGCTGTAACCAGTGAATTTCCCTGCCATCAGATCCATACTTTATCTTGTCTCTAACCATTTGCGACATTATCACCAGCATTGAAAAAATCTTCTCTTACTGACTGAAATGGGACCTAAAGTAAAGGTATTGTCATAATTTTAGTGATGCAAGTGGGGGGGTCAAAGCTGAGGCCAACCCAGCTGTTACCCAAGGCCTTGTTAAGAGCGTGTAATGTTACTGAGTGTTTAACGTCATAGTTACTGTTAAAGCTTAGTTTCACTGACGTAAAACATTTAGTTGTGGAGATTATTTGGTCAGATATTTTTTTAAAACTTGACAAGCCTTTTTTTTTATTCCCCATGTGTTGCATTGGATTACTGAAATAAATAAAGGCCACATGAAACTTCCAAATCCCCCCTATATCCTGGTGAACTGGACCAGCCTACTGATGGAGGCTGAGACAAGATCAACAACCGTGGGAAGGCCCATATTTACCCCCTTGAATGGACTCGTGAAAATATTGGTTTTTCTTCCATCCATAACAATCTGCAGGCTTACTCTTTCTGTCTACATTAGCAATGTCTGGTGGGCAGGTGGCTGCTGGTGTTCATCACATCAGTGATGCTCTCCTGTTGGACTCGTGACTCTCGTGCTGCCATTTAAAACAACGTTTGCACTATCACATTATTTCACGCCACAGAAATGAACGCCAGTGTGGATGTTAAAGGTAAAGAGGTAGAGTCCCCCCACACCACACAAGCCCGGATATCGACCTCATTTGACAGGAGGAAGATGGACATGTCTCTGCCTCAGTCTTGAAACTGGGTTAGTGGTCAGCCCACCATCGAACATGTTTGGTCACTGACAGGAAGCGGTGTTTGTTTGGCAGTGGTTAGCTTATGATGACATCCAGGCTCCCAGCCCACGGAATTAACCCAGTTCTCCAGGGCTTCAAGTTAGCACCTCTGCAATTCACACACAGCATGTTGCAAGGTTGTCGAGCATACAGGACAAAGTGTTGCAGTAATTTCTGGAGCTGTGTGAGTAAACCTCAGCAGCAAGGTGTTGGCAGCAGCCCGGACATTACTACGGAATGTTGCCGTGGGTTAAGAGCTTGTTAGCTTCGGCTAAAGCTGACGTTAGCTCCCCCCGGCAGTGTGAGAGACAACACCACACACGGTTGAAGCTGTAGTTAGCACCGGAGCTTACCTCGTCTTCTGAAAGTCCATATATTGGCTCGTACGTCGCAGCCATATAGCCTGCGTTCCAAGCTGTGCACACAAAAACAAGCCGCTTAGCAAAGCTAGCTAGCTAGCCTTGAACAATAAAGTCCCACTTTCCCCTCTGTGCCGTGCGGGTGATCAAGTCCACGGCGAGACCAGGTCCTCGAGGGCGGGTTGACGTTGACAGCCAGACGCCGTGTAACCTCGCCAGCTTGGTCCGTCCAGGACACAACTGGGGAATCTATAAAAAACAACAAGAAACTGTCTCCAATATGTTTCGAGTGAGACAGATCGTTTTTGTCAACTCCGAGCTGATCCCCTGAAACGCTGTGACACTTGACTTCCTCCTAACGAGCTCAGCCAATCGCGGGCCGAGTACACGTGAATGACGTCAATTTCGACCAATCGAGTGCGTCGGGTATTCCCCGATGCTGCCTCATCGGACAATAAGATATGCAGAGGGCGTGGAGCTGAAATATGTGTGTGTGTGTGTGTGTGTGTGTGTGTGTGTGTGTGTGTGTGTGTGTGTGTGT